GCCTCACCAGCAGCACCGCTTTCCCGTGTGTCCCCGGCCATTGAATTGCATGGCATGGGGTACGGAGGGTGGATGTGCACGTGGAGAGGTGCGGGGGGAGCATTTGGGCTCCCTCTATGGGAACGAATACCCCTCCCGCAGAGCTCCCTCCCCACCCTCAGCACCACCAGAGAACCCACTGACACCCAGCTTATCCCAGAGGCTTCGCTGCCTCCACTGCCCGCAGGCTGCCCTGATCCTGCCACTGCCTGTGCCAGCCCTGACTCATGCCGGCTACCGCTGCCGGTGACGCCCGCGAGATGCCTGTCGGGTCTCGCCTCCTCCCCGTCGTGCCGGATTTGGTCCCACCGTCGCTTCCTCACGGCCCTGCCCTTCCTCCCTGCCTGCCTCGGCACCGCTGCCTGCACGGCTGGGACCGTGGGTGCCAGGACCAGGACCCGGCTCAGCCCCAGTAGCTCCGTGCCCAGGGCAGGGAGAATTCCCCTGGGACCTGTGCCTGCTCCTCCAGAGGCAGCTCTGAGGGGTGGCAGAGGTGGGTGTCCCGTGGGTGGCTGCTCCCCTTCCCAGCTCTCCCCTGGGACCAGCCCCTTGAGGGGCAGCGGACCCCGAGGCCCGGGGAAGGCTGGCTGGCTGTCCCCGGCCATCCCCCCACTCTGCTAACTCCAGTGACGGCGTGCCATGGCCTGAGCAGGGTCTCCACAGCATGAACCACCCCAGCATTTGGGCCGGTGCAGGCAACCCCGTCCCTCCTGCGGTCCCACCTGAAGTCCCCTGGCACCCGCAGCAGCTTCCAGCAAGAGCTGGGTGCGGGTGCCAGCCACCCCCCCGGGTGCGGGTGCCACCTCCCCGGGCGTGAATGCCGCAGGGTGGTGGGGACAGAGCAGGCTCCAGCCCCAAAAGCGTCCTTGGGAACAGTGACAGGGCTGGGCAAGGGCAGGGTGGCCTTGTGCGCCATCGGCCACAGTTAGCCTGGCCTGGGGGCAGGAGCCACAGGAGCCAGCATGGCCTCCAACACCAGGTACACTTCCTCCTCTTCCTCCTCTTCCTCTTCCTCCTCGAAGGCAGCAAACGCTTGCCTGCCCTGGCTCGGGCTGCAAGGCGCTGCCCAAATGGCCTGTGGCATTTTACCGGCCTCTCCCAAAATTCTGGTCATCTCCACTATTTCTAAAATACTTAGGTTTTCCAAGCATTGTCCAGCTGGAGGGAGGTTCAGCGTCCCGTGCCAGCACCAGAGGCCCTGGTAGGACAGACACCCCCACCACAGGACGGCCCCTCCAGATTGATTTTGATTCACTGCAAAATTTTGATAAACCCCCTACCAGACCGGCTTGACTCAGCCATTCTCAGCTCTCTGCACCAGCAGCCCCAAGAAGCCACTTCACAAGTGACAAAGCTGGTATCAAAAATAGCAGGCGGTTGCAAATTGCAGCACAGACTTGTTTATTTTCTGTCCCCCCCCCAGCTCTGTCTGCCCAGCCTCTGCCATCAGCCCTGGACTGTGCAGGGCAGCGAGGAGGACGGGAGCAGGGCTGGGTGACGTGACCCCAAGCAGGGCACAGGCAGAATAGAATAGAATGGAATGGAATGGAATGGAATGGAATGGAATGGAATAGAATGGAATGGAATAGAATTTCAGCTGGAAGGGACCTACAACGATCATCTAGTCCAACTGCATCTAGTCCATCCAGCCCTCAGGAATGGACACATTCAGGGCTCCCTGGGCAATGCTGGGACGAGGACCGGATAAGGCTGGGCTAAGCAGCCGGTCCTGCACTGGCAGAAGAGGAGCAGAGCAAGCCCCTGCCAAAGGGATTTATTAAACCATGAGAAAACACTGACGACGTGGTGCTCTGTGACTTACAGTGCACCAACAGACTCTTACACTTACCCAGGGACAGGGGATCCGGTGCTGGGTGGTGCTCGAGGGAAAAGCCACCGGCCACAAACCGAACTGGGTGGCAAATCTCCCTAAAACTGGGAGGAGCGGTCCCCCCTCCCAGGCACTGCCCCCCCATTTCAAACTAACATACCAAGCAGTTGAGAAGAACGTGGCAGGTGCCGGTGAAGCAGCACGGGGACGGGTCAGGCGCCTGGGACGGCTCAGTCCTTCATGCCGGTGGGGTGGCCGGGCTGTGGGTGCAGAGGGCACCCCCCACCTCCCACCCCTCCGGCAGCACAGCCTCGGCTGGCAGCCACGCTCTCAGGCTGCCAGGCGAAGCGGCAGCACAAGACATCCCCGTCCCAGGGACACTCCGTGCAGATGTTCACCCTTCACCTCCAGATGTTGCAGATGGTGCAGCAGGCTGCCGTCACGCCAGTGGCACTGGGCTCGACAACATCCAGCCGGTTGTGCAGGCAACACCAGCAAGGCTTCAGCCTACCTTCAGCTCCACCACCTCCCTGCAGCTGAATTTCCACTTCTCCTGTGGCCTTGATAAGGTGTCACCATCCAGGGCGGGGGGTTTGGCAGGGTCCCCCAGAGTGACGGTGGGCACCGAGGCACTGCTGTGAATAACGCCACTGGGAGAGAATAATGTCCCCGCTTGGCCCAGCACGTTATGCCCGACCTCACCAGCACCTCGGCATCCTGGACCTGGCAGTGCTCCCCACACCGGTGCTCGTGAGCCCTCCTGCTGCGCCGCAGCCCCCGGGGAGCGATGCCCACCACAGTTCATGTACTCGCTGGCTCCTTCCCAAGGACAAATGACAGGACCGTGTGTCACATCAATGTCCCCCGTGCAGTTTGGGAAATCCATTTTCTGAAAGGCGGCTCTTAATTGAAAGATGTTCTTCATGGCCACGACATGGCGTAAACCACTTTAAGGACTGCATCCCACATCTCCATCACTGCCAGACCCACTGTTGACTTGCCCACGCCAAACTGGCTGGCCACGGAGCAGTAGTAGCTTCGGGTGGCCAGCTTCCAGGCCACGATGGCCACCCACTCCTACCCGGGGACAGGGTCCTTGAGCTGGTAAGGAGGAGAGAGGCGAGCGGCACGCAGAGCTGAGAACCTCAAGTTGCAACCACTGAAATCTGCTTTCAGCCCAGGGGCCACGAGGGAAGCACAGGGCACCATCATGCAGCCATTCCTAGAAAGCGGCTTGCACCCCAAAACACGGGGCATGGCCAGCAAATGGGCCAGGCACTAACGGGTGGGCCCCACGGCGTGACCCTCCCACGGGACAGTGCAGCTGAGCAGCAGAAAGCGTGCTGTGCTCCAGCAAGCACCGGCACATGAGCACAAAGGCGATGCAACGAGCCCAGTGAGGCTGGGCAGCCGGCAGCACCACCTCCAAGAGGAAAATCCTCTGTGGGAAAGTGCCAGCTCCCATGGCACTGGCATCTTTCACTCTGGAGAGAGGCCAGACGACACACTCCGAGCACAAACTCTTCTGCCCTGGCTGCAGTGGGAGCCCGGCCAGGCTGGGGGACACCGGCGGGAGCCCCAGCACTGGGCTCTGGCAGTGCCCCGGCCCAGACAGGGCACTCTGGTCCTGCTGGGAGCCTGGTGTGCCCATGGCTGGGGGGGGGTATCACAGTGTCCTTCCCCGAGGAACAGGGGACATCCATGACACCCTACATCAGGCATTCAACGTGCACAGCGCGGGGCACGTGGCCATGCATCCATCACCCTGCCGGACCCCCCCCACCTCCTCCCCACCCAGCAGGGGATCCCCAGCACTTGGGCCCATGTTCCCAGCACAGCCGCCTTCCCAAAGCAAGCAGACATCCTCCAGAGCAACCCAGCGCAGTGCCTGCTGCAGGAGGCGGCACCCCCCCAACAGCCCCCCACCACACTCCCGGGCCCCGGGGTCCTCCAGTGCCGTGGGTGGTGGGAAACCCTTCTTAGGCAGCGAGCGAAGCCACCAGCTTGTCACATCCTGGTACAGCTCCTCCTGGCACCCCACCAGCTCTGCCCGCTCCTCCAAGGAGAAACAGGCGGCCACATCCTTGAACATCACTGGGACCTGCGGCAGCGCGGGACCCTGCTCAGCACCCCGGCAGGAGAGTGGATGGGGAGATGAGCCTGGGGGGGTCCCGCTCGCAGCCCCACGGCACCTTCCCCACTCCCACCCTGGCTGCCCAACTGCCACCCCCCGCTTTGGGCAGCACTACGGGGCAGAAACAGCTCCCACAAACAGACATGGCTGGGCATGGGGACATCTGTACGGGGACAGATATGTCCCCACAGGGACCTCCTGGGAGCTGACCCATCCCTCCGAGACCCGTCGGGGAGGGATGGCAGCCCTGAGCCCCAGGTGCCCTGTGGGATGGGGGACACGCTCCAGCAGACCGGGGGTCCCACCAGCACGGTTTCACTGGTGCGCAGCCTGAGCTGGGCAAAACAGGGAAGGGGCTGGGTGGCAGGGGACAGGGCAGCCACCCAGGCTTCACCCAGCTGGTGCCTGGCAGTGCCGCTACATCCAGGGGAGCGGGTCAGGACAGGGGTCCCGGGTGCTGTTCATCCCCCAGAGTCACCCAGCCTACCCCCAGCACCCCTCCGAGGGGAAGGCTAAGGGCCAAAAGCTGGGAAGCGGGGAGAGGCTCTGGCCCTTGGGCTGCCCCCCCCAGCGCAGGATGGGACCTTTCCATTCTGCCGTAAGAGACCAGACCCCACGCTCGCATCACTGTCTTCTGGCTTTAAATACAGATGGTAACAAGGAGATACCCTCCCATGCAGGGGCAGGGTACTGGTGGGACTGGGAGAACTGGGAAGTGCCTTGGAGGGATTTTTTGAGGTCCAAAGGGGTGCGGAGCACAGGGCTCACAGGTCCTGGACGTGCACCCAGCCAAGCCCCAGGGAGGAGGCAGCAGGCACTAGCAAAGTCAGTGTCCTGTGGGGGCAGGATGAGGCCCCCTCCTGCCCCGCTGCCATCCTCCGGGCCTCTCCACACAGGGATAAGCCCCCTCCCACACTCCAGAGCGGCCGCAGCTACTGCTGGCAGCCTGTCGGGTCGTCCCCTGCCCTGAGGGTCCCCCCGTCCCCCTCTCCATGCGCCCGCTGGTGAAGCAGCAGCTTGCTCTTGGAGCTGAAGCCCAGCCGGCACTGGGAGCAGGCAAAGGTCTTGTAGCGCCGGTGGAGCTTCTTGTGCGTGATGAGGTTGGCCTTGTTGCAGAAGGACTTGTCGCACTGGGGGCACGTGAAGGGCCGCTCGCCCGTGTGCACACGCTGGTGCACCAGCAGGTTCCCGCTGCGGCTGAAGCCGCGGCCGCAGTCGGGGCACTTGTGGGAGCGTTCCTGCGCGTGGCTGCGCTGGTGGATGATCAGGCTCTCCTTCCAGCTGAAGCTGCGGTCGCAACGCCCGCAGAGGAAGGGTCGCTCCTCGCAGTCGGCGGCCCGGTGCCGGCTCAGGCTGGCCTCGTCCTCAAAGCGCTTGTCGCACTGGGGGCACTTGCAGCATGTGTCGCCAGCGTGCTCCTTGCGGTGCGCCTGCAGGTCACGCTTGTGGCGGAAGCTGTCCCCACAGAGCGGGCAGGCATAGCCGCCCTCGCCACCGTGGCTCGCCCGGTGCCGCAACAGATCCCCTTTCAAGCAGAAGGTCCTGGTGCACTCCGTGCAGGCATGCCGGCGCCGGCCCCGGTGCTTTTTGTGCGTCAGGAGGTTGCGGTAGTGGCGGAAAGCCTTGCCGCAGGCGCCGCACTGGTAGGAGGGCGCTGGGCGCAGGTGCTCGCGCTGGTGTGCGCTCAGCCCAGCCTCGTCCTCGAAGCTCTGCCCACAGGTGCCGCAGATTAGGAGCCCCCCACCCCTCGCCACGGGCACCTCCAGCAGCCGCTCCCCCCGGTCCCACCCCGGCAGCTCCTGGGGGGCATCCCCGGCCCAGGCCCCCGGCTCCGTGTCGCACCAGCTGGAGCAGAGCACGGGGTGCCCCAACTCCTCGGCCGACCCGGCTGGCGATGCGCACGGGACCCAGCGTCCCCGGTCGTCGTCCTCACACAGGTCCTCGCCGGCCGTCCCGCCCCAGGCAGCTGTCGGGAACAGGGGTGCAGTTATGGCGGGGGGTGTCCCGGCACGGGGACACCGCCGGCACAGACCCGTGACGGTCCCCGTGCCCGCGGCACCGGCCCCTCGCCCGCCGCAGCCTCCCCCCAGCCCTGCAATGCCCACGGGACAACCAGGCCTGGGGGGCCGAGGTGGGACACCCAAACCCACCCGGTGAGGAGGAGCTCGTCTGGGGTGGAGGTCTGGCTGGGGCCAGCCGCCTCATACTGCGCTCGGGGCTTCTGTCTCTAACTTACTAAATCGGCACCGATTTCCCAGCCCGGTGCCCCCCCGGCCACGCGGGGGGTCTCCCCGCAGTCACTCACAGGTGCCAGAGGCGTCAGGAGCTCTGCCGTCCCCCCCGCCGCAGGGGACCCCCCCACACGACTCCTCCCTGGGTTCCATTTTGTGGGTGAGCTTGGACTCGGGGCCTGTGTGGGAGAGAGAAACCTCAGCATCCCTCGAGCCGCCCAAGGAGCGTCACCGTCACCGGGGGCCATGGTGATGTGCCTGGGGGAAGCCGGCTGCGGGAGCAGCGGGACCAGGGGGCTGCCATGTCCAGGGCCCTCAGGAGCTGCCGGCGTCAACCCCGCTTGTGGCAGCGAACCGGGGCACACCAGGGTGGGGAGCGGCAGGGCCGGGGTACCTGGAGCCGTTATTCCTCACACACCGGGGACGGACTCGGCAAGGCCGGGGAGGGCAGCGGGCGCGCTGCAGCCCCGCTCTGCGTGGAGAGACGGTAAGTTGGGCTCTGCCCACGCGCGGCTGGCCGGAGGGGCTCGGGCTGCGGACCCCCGGCTGAGCCTCCGGAACCCCGGCTGAGCCTCCGGACCTCCCAGCCTGGCAGTGCTGCCGGCTCTGTGCCCGGGCTCCCCAGGAGTGCATCCTTACCCAGGGTGGCAACCAGGTCATAGTTGTCCATCATCACCTCCTGGTAGAGCTCCCGCTGCCATGCCACCAGCTCGACCCACTCCTCGGGGGAGAAATAGACGGCCACGTCCTCAAACGTCACTGCGCCCTGGAAAAGAGTGTAGGGGCTGAGGGGACCTGGGGAGCGAGCAGCACCGTCCCCTCGCTGGACCCCAGGCAGGGGGGCGCGGGGGGTGTCTGCAGCCACGTTCACCCCCTTCTCCCAGGGTGCACATGGAGCTGTAGCACACCGCGGTTCCCAAAACGTCCCCGTCCTTGGGCCGCTCGGCTCCCTGGCAATCGGTGCAGGATGGCTGGGGCTACGGTAAGCCCCAGACTGTCCCGGGAAGAGCAGGGCTCCCCAGTTCCCCCCCAGCCCCACGCTCCTCAGCTCGGCCGGAGGGTCTGGCTGCCCCAGCGCCTGGGGACCCACGGGACCCCCCCACCTCCACCAAGCAGGACCAGAGGGCTGGGGGTCACATCCAGCCCACGCTTGGACACCCGGCTCAGCACCGCCCAGAACGGGGCACGGTCCCTCTTCCCGACCTGCCGCGCCCACCCGAGACCACCGGGCACCGGAGAAGCCGGGGATGCTGGCGGCTCCCGCGGGGGGGGTGTCTCCATGCTGGCACAGCAATCCAGGCACACGCACCCCCCCAATTCCCGGGACCCCGCACACGGGCAACAAGAGCCACCGCCGAGCCACGGACCCGGGGGGACGTGGGTCTCAGGCGCAGCCCGGAGCAGCTGCCGCCGAAACCGGGCTGGGAACCGGGACCGGGGCC